TCGAGGAAATAATATATACAAAAGTACCGGTTCGTAATTTCACGATCAACAGCAAATCACAATGGCTTTTTTACTTCCTAGCCATGACTTTCTTAACAGTTTCTACATAACAACAATCCGAAAATGTTGTTATCTGAACGTCTTGATGTGTAAAGTGAAACGACTTCAAATGTTAAATAGATCGATGCATATATTTGAGATAAAGTTAAGCATAGTCTAGAAATGTCTTTGTGAGAAATCGTTGAATAATTCAACAAAAAAGGTTGATTCATACCTCGTGAATACTGACATTATTCAATATTTCTTTCAATGTCACTTTAGTTTTTTAGCAACTTGTACCCAGTAGGTTTAATCAAGTAAGTATAAGTTGAATTAGTGTTTTCATTTCAATATTCAGTATTCGTTCTACAACAGTTAGAAGTATTTGGCTTAATTATTGTACGGTCAAAATGTTTGGTTATATCCGTTATATGTTTGTATTATATGCGTGGTCTTGCTGACTTCGAATTTCTAGGCTTTGTGTGCTAGTGTTTGCATGTTATTTAAGTAATGACATGCTATTATGAACCGTTACTGCAATATAGAATCAGTCGAGTACTGAAAAATTGCTTATCTGGCGATAAGCTTAAATCACACTCTGATTTTGAAATCATATTGAAAGACCAAAAACCATTCATCTTGATAAATCCAGTCTCAAATGACATAAACCACCCTTTCTTTAACATTGAACTTACTTTGTCCACTATATTCTGCATAGTGGTTTAAAATGGAAACCTTGATTATTTATAATTGTAAGGAAAAGATATTTTCGCGCTTAAGCAGACCCATTTTTCTATGAAATTGAATTTTTTAAGATGGTAGAAGTTAGTCAGCAAGACAAGTCGCTTATCATTTAGTTGAAATTGTTACATTGAAGTTATCGCAAAATAATTTTCATAAACCGTACTCCACGTTCATAATAGAAATCGAGTAGAGCTACAAGTTATTTGTCATCCGGTTCAACTCATTCTCGGGGTATTACATATTTTTCAACAGAGGAAGGCAATGTACCTCACCCTAATTGTTGTAATGAGTCAAAATATCAGGCATTTTTCAAAGAATGAACAATCAGACCATCAGTGCAGGACCAAATTATAGACGATAGATACTGATTAAAGAACTTGACTATTCAAGATCTGGATTAATTTTCTAAAGGACCCATACCGATATTAATTAATGAATTTGTACATATATATAATTCAGGTAAGTTGATAAAAGCTTCCGATTTACTTTTGGTTTTTCCATTCCAGTAGCTTGTTGAGCTCGCATATAAAAAGTATATTTATTGGCATCAAACTCAGACGACCATACAACACAGTATTATCATTCTGACTTCACTTATCACTTCGGATTAACAGAGAGGATTAGTCGAGTGAACCTGATCATTACACACTCACTAACTCGGGCTCTGGTTAGGTATTCTTATAGATGTTTCATAATATCATTCTGTTATTCTAATTATCTATTCAGCATATCTACCATAATAATTTGTTTGGATTTTCACGACAAATGGATAGTTTATTTAGAAGTGATGAAAGTACATGAATTGTTTATTATCTAGGCCCCTGTCTCCAATGGATAGTACCTCTTAATTACACATGAAAAAGGTGTAAAAGTAACGGTTGATAATCCTAATCAAAATTTCAGGATTATAGTATTACCAAGTATACTTGAATGCATTTTTTCTCTACATTCAATCACATTTCGTGAGATATCTTCAAAAGAACTATGAAGAGTGTTGTAATTTCGAATACTTTAGTCAGTATTAAACCAAGTTTTATCTTTTTAGTGCATAGTTAATTGTTTCAGTTGACAGGAAAGAACATTGGCAAATTAAATACGTAGTAAGTTGTTATAGGTATATTATACTCTATTTTAAATTATAAGGCACTCATTTAATTCGATCTTTCTCACTTAAATTATTTGAACTTCTTTTTGCAGCAAAGTAATAGAATTAGAATATTTGATTTAATCGAACCCGGTTAGTATAATGACATTTCTGTATTTAAATGTTGTACAGTTATTTACCCGAAGTTCACAACGAAAGATAACTGGAAGAAATACACCAACTTAATTTCAATGTCTGTTATGAGGCGGTAAAATATTCTTTGGTGCAGTTTACGTTTAAATTATTTCACTTAAACAAGTTTCTCAACATTGGATTGTGGTTCTGGTTAGCATAAGGTGAATTCGGACTTAAAGATGGTAAAACCAAATAGTTTTTATTACTTAGAATTGATAAAAAATATTTGGTTTTACAAATATGATGAACTATCGATAATTATGGAAAATACTTTTCTTGCTCCGATTAACAATCATACTGAATAAGTACAATGACAATTAAGTAAGCTGACGTCAAAAGAAAGAATGAAAATAATATTTATAATACAAACAATAAGGTGAATAGTATGTAAATTGTAGATATCATAAAAACTGGAAAATGAAAGATGTTTTTCTGGCATAATGTCGATATCGTGAATGTAAATCCGTTCTGATATCAACCGATGACTTGCTTAACCGTTACCAATACTAAGTCTACATAAAATACAACCTCCCAAATACCCTGGTACGGCCGAGAGTGGGAAGAGTCCGCTCTCCCTCTCGAAATGCTCTCACATGGCCACGGGTGTATAGCCTCTGCCAGGGAAGTCCTACTCACTGCCTTCCCGTGGCAGAGGTGTTGTTTACGAAATTGAGAGGAAGAAAAGTGGATATCCAGTGCTTTAACCGGGTCGGTAGACACAGAGAGTCCACCCAGAGGAGTTGGAAAACCCTGATTCCAAACCAATGGTGCACATGGGCTCCAGTATCCTGAAGGAACAAATGGTATATGAACCAGTCGTTGGTCACCGGCTACCATGGGACCGCATCTCCTTACGGTGCTCCACTGCCCTGTGGATCAGACCTTTAGGTCCAAGGCTCCGGGTGTGTCTACCTAGGAGAACCACCTGCTTCGGTTTGGGCACCCGGGCGGTATCACGACCCTCAAACAAATGAAATGAGATTTGTATGGCGCATATGTATCTAATGCACCCTTGTACTAATATATATATGTGTTCAAATAAAATAAATAATAGCAAGGGATTACTAACTGAACAACTTCTTTGTAAATATAAAATATATATTGTTGAATTTTCTGAAAACTAAATGTTGTTAATTAGTTTACATTGTCAGAGATATAAATGAAATGTATAGTTGTTTGTAAGAGGAAAACTTTACCACTTCTATTCAAAACCAATACAATAATAGCATTCCGTACTTTCATAACAATTCAACTGTAGTGAAGACTACAACAGTTTAGTGCATAACGTCAAGTATCTGATTTATGTCATCATTTGCAATTTTATTTGCTAACGCCCCAATACAAATGCACAGGTTTTCGAAACGCCGCGCGTAACAGTTTCATTAGTTACCTTTAAACAAGGAGTTGAAGCAATCTCATTAGAATTAGATTGCGACATAACTTTAAAATGTTATGCGCAATACAACTATGTACGTAATTTTCCTATAAAATGTTATTTTATTAATTTTTTTTCTACTTAATACTTTGGTATACCTTCTAGAAGAAATCTAATCACCGTTAATCATCCATTTCCATCCGACTGGTGCATCATAAATCCGTATCCACCCTACTTACTTATTTATTTGCTCCAAAATACAGTTCGTACTCGAGTCAAATATCAGAAGCCAAAAGTTTTTATAATTAACGCATACAATTTTTCAATGGTAGTTCAAGTTCAGGGTGAAAAGTAATCATTATAGGTTAATAGGGTTTTAAGATTGAACAACAATGTCCAGAGTTAAAAATCTCATCTATATTTAACTAGCAATAAGATTAGTAATGTGAATTTAAGAAACAAATAGCATATTCAACGGAGCAGTGGGTACATGCGAATCACCTAAGTTTATAATGAACGCTTGTGTTTCTGATCTTACTTGATTGATTTACCACGTAAGTTAATAACATTCACCGCATAAAGTGAAATTGCTTAGAATAGTCCTCACCCGCAGTACACACTTATGCCTTAAATAATTAAAACTGATAACATTCTTTTTATCTATATATTATGTTTAAATCCTTTATTTTAATTAGGTAACCGATGCAATCCTTACACCATCACGATTGAAAGATTGTCACATATAACAGGAAAACTTTATGAAACCAAGGAGAATGAGGACTTCAAAAGCACTACACGAATATAAATTTTGAAAGCGTAGGAAAAATGGACACCAAACACTTTAACAGTAATGTTTTCCTAACACTAGATATCATTTAATTATGATTTTATATGAACGTGGTTATAAAGTCCATTATACGTAGTAATCATTTTGTAATCTAATGATCGAAAAGAAATGGGCATATAGTATATAAAAAGATAAAAAAAGAATCATGTTTGGACAAGTAGTTGAGGTCGAATAAACCCTCATTTGATTAACCGAAAATGGTAGATATCTGGAGACTTATTCCAACAGCGAACTCAAACAAAGGCTGGTCTACAATGTTTCTTTTTATCAGGTTTAGTGCTAAGTACTGAAATTTCTGGTTGATCATTTTGACAATCCTTCAAAAGTATTTAGATGACATCTGAGGACAGTTCTCGAACTTTGGAGAGTCGATTTTCAAATTCCATTAGATGTCTCAACGAGAGCATATAAGCCACAAAATCATAAATTCCATCAGTAGTTTTGTAGTACAAAAATTTGTAACAATGAATTACTGCTATCCATCTAAGTAACTGTCTTCAAAAGACTCATGATTAATAAAAATTTCACTTCTTAATAGCAGAATGTAAGTGCCAAACACTTTAAATTGATTTCCAATTAAATTAATCTTTCGAACATACACTGGCTTATAAATCTCGAATCGGAATTCAATAAACCCTTTAACCGTAACAAAATTAATAAAATTTGCATTTATAATGAAAATGTTGAGTATTATTAATAGTTTTTACACTACTTACCGAAATGGTATGTAATAAACACTAATAAAAATCCAGAATATTTATTTGCCATTGGGAGAAAGGATATAGAAATGTATATATATATATATATATGTAAAAAAATCACGACTCCATAATTAGTTTGCCTGTCATATTAGAATTCATTCATTTTGAATATAATATTAGACTGCTTTGAGTAAAAACCTTTACAATTAAATTAATTCATTGCTATCTCTTTTACGTCAGTAACATTAAAAATGATCATAGTCTATTTACTGACAAGACCAGATGAAATTTAATTCATTTGGTTGTATTCTAAAAATAAAATGATATTCCGCACATTTTAATAGAATAGTCTTCATTAGTCAAAACTTTTCAACTTATCTTGATTAGCAGAATAAAGTGAGGTAGATTTTTACAATATCAAATGGTCCGATTGTATCAAATGAACCAATCATATAGTTGATATGTTTTCCTTTTATTGATTTGAAATGTAAAGAGTTCTGATTGGATAAATTATTGTCTATCATAATATGCATAGGACGTTTGGAATGATTGTCAGTTAAGACTAGTCATTTTCATTTTAGTAAATAATACATAAATAAATACGCAGAAAAATATACAGAGTTCAAGAAAGGCTTTAATTAGAAGCGTATTGTGTTGTTGTGGTTTGCTCCTATCATCATTCTTTTATCTCCAGTGTAAATTAAAATCTGAAGTTCATTACTCGTTCTAGTCACCTGATAATAATGTTAACTGAGTTGGCTTTAAATTTATGAACTTTGTTCGCCCGGTTGAATTTAATCCACAATAAAACATAAACTTGGATATAAGACATGATAAGACTTAATTTTCGCAATAATAGAGTTTATATAATACGTTGTTTTTTCAAGAATCACATATTTCAGATTGAATGTTGTATTTCCAGAAAATGGAGTATTCCAAAATTACTGTTCCCTTTAAGTCCCAAATATTCTTATTGTTCGGAAGATATGACCTAACCACATGATAGACAGTATTGGAGACTACTCTCTCTTAAGTCCTAAAAGATTTTTGTCTTAAAGACCCTAAAATTTCTGGATTCTAGATTTATTATTCGCAATAACTATTATTTCATCCACACAATCCGCCTGGTCAACTAAGACAGTAAAACTCCCTCACAATCGACCTGCTATTGTGGATGGTTTATTTTCCTTCAAGGAATTAAATGTCTTTATAATCATTTCACACACTTCATCTCTACATAATAACAATGACCGCAGTTTAATACTGCAGACAAAAGTGATGTGAAAAGGCAGGCTTAATTTGAATGAGAAAACTGTTTTGTGTGTTCTCTACGATAGAGATATGATATCTAGCATTCTAAAATGGGAGTGAAGCTTCAGTTATGCCACTTTCTTAACGTATACACACAACCTTTATTATGCACTACTTATTAGTCATAACTTTTTGATTACAAGATTTATGACTGCTACCATGTACATTTCGTCAATAATGATGTACTTTTAAATGATGTTACGTTTGATTATACATTTTACGTTCATCTAATGCTGCAGATTATTCACAACAACATCACTCATTTTTGGTAAAAGTAACCCATAAATCACGTCCGTTCGGATACTGTACCCTTTGATTTTAATGTTGTCTCTACTTTTGTGTGAACTCGATCATGCCTGTAAGCTAGTGTGAATTATGAAATCATTTTTAAAATATATAATTATATATAAATTATGTATTTATGTAAGAACTTTCAACTAAATTTGAACGAATAGTTTCACAGTATTTGGGCGCCGATTTGATGTAAGACATTAAGGAGGAAGAACGTGTTTGTAAAATCTCAGCAAATGAATTGGAAATAAATCTAACGTTTCGCTTGGCAATCTGATCCAAGCTTTTTCAAAGAAATACAATCAAAATAGGACTTGTTTAATGTACAGTTAACCGAAGAACCATGTACCTATTTATGTTCGATAATTTTGATGTTTGATTGTATTTCCTTGAAAAAGCTTGAACCAGATTGTCAAGAGAAACATTGGATGTACTTCATATTCATTCGCTGAGATTTTACAAATACATTCTTCCCCCTTAATTATGTGTTTACTTTTAGTAACATGAGTAGTTGGATGGTATCCATGCTGAATAACAGATTTAACATCAAAGGTTCAAAACAGCCTGAACATAAGAGAGCTTTCTGCTCCTTTAGTGATCCAACTGTTTATACTTATTAGAATTTCGTGCCTTGAGAGATTAGTGTATTTGTTGTTTAACAATGTTTTATGTACAAATGACGAACAGTTTGATTCCAGCCATTTAGATGACGCAAAGTAATTATTTATTATTTCTAATGAATCTGGACAAAGGATCAGATGCTCTTTCATACACTTTTGAATTGTTCCCTTACTCTGCTACTGTGATTTAACTCATTAAATCACTGTTGTTACTATCGTTAGTATAAATATAGTTATCGATCTGGTCTAATATTTAACTGGTATCAAACGTTACAGTTTAATTCTCAGGCATTGTTGTTTATGATTATTGTTAGGCGCCGTTTTATTGAAAATCAGCCAATGACAATGTATACATATTTATCTATGATTTCATAATTCAGTTGAATTAATCCAATGGTCAACACGAAACACATCTCCAGTTTATCTGTTTGCTGTCGTCTTTTCTAGTTTAGATAAATCTGTCGGATAAACATCCCTATAAGCATTAGAGAAAGAAGGGAAACTACTTAGTTCCTTAGTGAGAAATAATTATTGTAGTTCGCATGATATTGTAATATTTATTTTTACTTTTCATCAAGATAGAAACTTTAAGATAAAATTTATCGATGTGATACTAGTAGTAATACTGAAAATTCCATCAGGAACTACTTGTTATTGATAGTTGTGATTTAATGTCTACTTATTTGTTTACATTCGTTTGTGTTTATCGTACATATATAAGAATTTGTAACTGCTAAAACTATTCGTTAGGTGAATGATATATTATTCATAACGAGACATGGGTCTGGCTTCGTATAATGTCGGGAATTCGGATTATTGAATAGCTCTGAAAAATGGCAGAATAATATTTGGTTTCTTTCTACCTTTCAATAAACAGTATTCTTAAGCTAATTAGTTATAAAACAATTGATTTAACAATTGAGTCCATTTTCGAGAAGTTCATTTTTAACATTGTACACTCATATATGTATGTGGTTAATCATGGGATAACGTATAATCGCATTTGCTAAAACTTTATTGGTTGTGTAGACTATGACTACATAATTTTTAAATAGGCAAACAACTGTTCAGACGTAACAAATACATCACAATTGATTGATCACTGGGTGGTGATCAATGTCATGTGTGTCAAGTCCTTATTAGTGCAGATCGAATGCTATCGATCAAGTTGCAATGTGGCCACCAGTTTAGGTGACTCGACACTGCGTGCACTATGTTGAGATTAGATGGTGGTTGAAGGTAGTCGACAGGAAACCCTGGACCCGGGTTTCGTGCTACTTGGCCACTATGTAGGGAGATTAGATGGTGGTTGGAGGTAGTCAACAGGAAACCCTGGACCCGAGTTTCGTGCTACTTGGCACTCGTCAGCAAGGTGTACCTGTAATCTTGAGGGAACTGGTGCTCCCTGGCGGATTCGATCTCGTGTCACCCAGCTTCACAGTCAGAGACGTTACCACTGAGCTATCCGAGCCGTGACTAACCTCCTGTAGGACTGAGATGTAATCACAATTGATTGATCACTGGGTGGTGATCAATCTCATGCTTGTCTAGTCCTTATTAGTGCAGATCGAATGCTATCGATCATGTTGCAATGTGGCCACCAGTCTAGGTGACTCGACACTGCGGGCACTATGTAGGGAGATTAGATGGTGGTTGGAGGTAGTCAACAGGAAACCCTGGACCCGAGTTTCGTGCTACTTGGCACTCGTCAGCAAGGTGTACCTGTAATCTTGAGGGAACTGGTGCTCCCTGACGGATTCGATCCCGTATCAGGGTTACCTGTTGACCACCTCCAACCACTATCTTATCTCAACATAGTGCATACAATGTCCAGTCACCTAAACTAGTTCCCACATTGCAACTTGATCGATAGCATTCGATCTGCAATAAGAAGGACTTGCCACACATGAAATTGATCACCACCCAGTGGTCAGTCAGTCATGATTACATCTCAGTTCTACAGGAGGTCGGTCGCGGCCCGGATAACTCAGTGGTAACGTCTCCAACTGTGAGGCTGGGTAACACGGGATCGAATCTGTCAGGGAGCACCAGTTCCTTCAAGATTACAGGTACACCTTGCTGACGAGTGCCAAGTAGCACGAAACCCGGGTCCAGGGTTTCCTGTCGACTACCTCCAACCACCATCTAATCATAACAAATACATAATCAGTATGGAGACTGTAGTATTTTCACAGCTGAAATCATGAGTCGATCTACGTTAGACCACTACTAAAAACCTGGAAGCATTAGACGACTATTTCTTCTTAGTGTGGGACTCCTTAACCATGCACATCCACGATCACACACACAGGACTCGAACCCAGTGCTTCCGGGTTCTCAAGGGTTGTTTAGCTTAGGTCAACTCGTGAGTTCAATTGTGAAAACACATGATCAGCAGGGTGGACAGAGTCTCTGGGTCTGTCTTTATGTTGAAACAGAGGAAATATGAGAATCGTGATTAATAATTCCGAGTAGAGACAAATTTTATAACAATAACAGCAAGATAGAGCCAACTATAACCATTTTTGTAAATGTAGAAGTGGGATATTATAATAAACGGGAGAAAATAAAATAAAACAGTGGTAAGGAGGATAGTCTAAAAAATTGTTTCCTTACACACAACTGGGATTTTAAATTATGGATGGCCAAAGGTTCTGTAATATAAAGTAGGTTTAAGCATACTGGATATTATAAATGATACCATAGAATGATACGGAATACTTTGTATCTATTGTATGCTGTGGAATAGGTGACATGTTTGGCCGTTTTCCTCTGGTAACCTACATTGGTAGATGTTCTCAAATGCGATGAAGGGGTGGCCTCGACGAACGACCTATATACTCAC